ATCAAAGAAATCGAGCCAATAGTTCCAGTCAGCGAGATAAAAGATGGACTTAAAGATGACGGCTTTGAAGTCAAAATGACAATGAACATAATAAATAGAAATAAAATTCCCCAACCAATGTTCAAGGTAGAACTGACACCTGACTATATGTTTAAAAGTAAAAACAATGTTCACCAAATTTATAAGCTGCAATATCTACTGCACCGTAAAATCACCGTTGAGGTTTCATAAACGAAATGGACCTATTCAATGTACAAACTGCAAGGAATATGGACACACAACAACCTATTGTACCCTACGCGCAGTCTGTGTTGCGTGTGGGGATGTACATCTCAATGAGACCTGCCCTGTAAATAAGGAGAACCCCTCTGCTAAAAAATGTAGTAATTGTGGGGGAAATCACACTGCTAACTATAGAGGTTGCCCTGTATACAAAGAGTTCACAAGTCGCTTAAGTCAACAAAAATCCACAGCTCGAAATCCAGTCATCCGACAAAACTTGTCATACATACCATCAACTACGATTCTAGGAGTATCTTTTTCTAAGGCGTTAAGTTACACCAACGAGTCGTACGCCTCAGTCTCTAAACAAACCACTGCAGGAATAATGAATCGTCAGACACTGCAAAAGGGGGCAGAAGTTACTGCCGCACATACCACTGCAAATCCATCCCAATTGCCTAGTGGGATTGAATCAATTCTGGCAACTCTAACAAATACAATGGTAGCAATACAACAAAAGATGCTCGAAATTATGCGCAATCAAAATCTCCTTCAAATGCGAGGTCTTGCAGTTCCTCAATCAACATGACATAGACGCCATGCTCATATCAGAGACTCAGCAAACAAAATAAAATTATTTTCATCTCAATGGCTACAATTTCGATGTAACAAATCTTCCCTAGGTAAGGCTCATGGAGGTACTGGCATCCTGATAAAGCGTCGCATAAGGCATTATCCGTTGCCATCATTTGCTATAACTTATCTACGGGCCACAACAGTTCATATTGAAAAACAAAGCGGCTATTTAAGCTTAGCCGCAGTATATAGCCCACCGCGCTTCTCCGTTTCTGAGGCAGAATTCGTACATTACTTCGACCTACTGGGTGACCGCTTCATAGCAGCTGGTGACTACAATGCCAAACACACACATTGGGAATCCCGACTCATCAACCCGAAAGGAAGACAACTATATAACGCTATAATAACACCACGAAACAAGCTTGACTTTGTTTCTCCCGGCTGGCCCACATATTGGCCCACAGATCCAAAAAAGCAACCAGACTTGATTGATTTTGCTGTTACAAGAAGAGTGCCACATCATCGGATCTTCACCTTTATGACCACCAAGAAAAACTGACCGGCTTAAATACAGGAAGTACGTAAGTTCCCATATTGTTGGCTACCCAAATATTAACTGCAGAGATGACAAAGATACCTCAGTTGAAGCATTATTGTATGTAATGTCACTGGCGGCAAAACATTCCACTCCAGAAATCACAGCTTTTAAACCGTACAAAAGCAGTCGTGTTCCCAGGCATATTAAAGAGCTGCTACGAAATAAGAGAAGGCTTCGGCGGGAGTGGCAATCGCACAGGTCACCTAACTCAAAGGAGCGGTTAAAAATAACCAACCATCTACTACGCAAAGCCCTAGAAGATGAGATACACCGAGCTCAAATGGGCTATATGGAGCAACTCTCCCCAAACAGCAAACGATTCCCATTGTAAAAAGCTAAATCAGGCGTATGTCCACCAATCGAGAGTGAATCACCATTACGTACACAAAGAGGAAAATGGGTTCGCAGCAACGAAGAGAACGCAAATCTATTGCCGCTCATTTAGAAAAAGTCTACAAACTACATATAGCAACAAATAGCTTTGTGCGCCCACTAACCAATCATCTTGAAGCTACCACACCTATCGTATTCCAAGCAAGAGAAGTTACAAGTGGCATTAAAGGCCAAGTTTCCACTAAAATGATCATTGAATTGCCGAGCTGTGCAGTATATTTTCGCACCATCATTTTCAACAGCATGATGAAATGGGGCTATTATCCTCAACAATGGAGAAAATCTGTCATCACAATGATCCATAAAGCCGGAAAGGTCAAGTCTCAGTCATCATCATATAGACATATCAGTGCAATCCCAAATCACCAATTTGGTTTTCGCGATGGAACCATTGAACAAGTCAACCGAAAAACCTCTGAGATACGAAATGCATTTGAAAAACGAGGGTATTGCTCCGCTGTTTTTCTGGATGTCGCCCAAGCCTTTGACCACGTTTGGCTGATTGGCTTAGTTCACAAAATCAAAATATTACTTCCAAAGAACATCCATAAAATACTGGAGTCATACCTACAGCAAAGAAGTTTCGCAGTTAGATGCAAAGATTTCCTCTTCGAATACCATCCAATTGTAGCTGGTGTACCCCAAGGAACCGTGCTTGGACCGACACTGTATATCATATACACAGCAGATATACCAAACAAGTAAAAAAGCTAAAGTCGGGTGTCCCGACTTTGAAATACTCTGTACATATGTTTACAATAATTATAGAAAATAAAAAAAAAAAAAAGAATAAAAAAAATTGGATCGATTTTACCTCTCTCGGTATTCGAACTCACGTAAAGGGTGTATAATTGCACATTTACATAGCAATTGCGTCTGTGTGAGTGTATGTATGCCTATGCGCATCAATTCGTGTCTGTGTAAGCATTTTCGCAGTCAACCAAACAGCAACATCAACAACAGCCGCGGGCAGCGCTTGAGCAGCGCTGCAGCAGCAAATATATTTATGGCTATAACTTCTTGGTAAATCGGTCTATCATAGTGAAACTTGGCATACGGACACATAATTACTAACTGGGGGTATTTGCATTTGTAATTTTAGTTCGAAATTCCAAGAATTACGGGAGTTACAGAAAATCGCATTTGCGTGGGAGAGGGGGGAGGGAGGGAAATTCCAAAATATACATTTTCTGCGTATTCACACAAGGCACCTTGGACTAAAATTTGGTGTTCCTAGGTCTTATGGTCTCCGAGATATAGGCGATTATACGAATGGAAAATCGGGAAAACCCCCATAGGGGGGAAGTGGGGGGGGAAAATCAAAAAAATAAAACAAACTCGTATAGAATACACACATAACGCATCTTTGTGCAAAATTTGGTGTCTCTATCTCTTATAGTCTCTGAGATCCAGGTGTTCATACGGACGGACAGACGGACAGACAGGGCTAGATCGACTCGTCTTGTCACGCCGATCAAGAATATATATACTTTGTGGGGTCTGCCACGCCTCCTTCTGCCTGTTACATTTTCAGCTCCCGCAAACCTAATATACTCTTGTACATTTCATGTACAGAGTATAAAACAAGTAAAAAAGCTAAAGTCGGGTGTCCCGACTTTGAAATACTCTGTACATATGTTTACAGTAATTATAGAAAATAAAAAAAATTAAGAAAATAAAAAAAACAAGTAAAAAAGCTAAAGTCGGGTGTCCCGACTTTGAAATACTCTGTACATATGTGTACAATAATTATAGAAAATAAAAAAATTAAGAAAATAAAAAAAAAAATTTGATCGATTTTACCTCTCTCGGTATTCGAACTCACGTAAAGGGTGTATAATTGCACATTTACATAGCAATTGCGTCTGTGTGAGTGTATGTATGCAGGGGAATTCCAAAATATACATTTTCTGCGTATTCACATAAGGCATCTGGGACTAAAATTTGGTGTTCCTAGGTCTTATAGTCTCCGAGATATAGGCGATTATACGAATGGAAAATCGGGAAAACCCCCATAGGGGGGAAGTGGGGGGGAAAATCAAAAAAAAAAACAAACTCGTATAGAATACACACATAACGCATCTTCGTGCAAAATTTGGTGTCTCTATCTCTTATAGTCTCTGAGATCTAGGTGTTCATACGGACGGACAGACGGACAGACGGACAGACAGACAGACAGGGCTAGATCGACTCGTCTCGTCATGCTGATCAAGAATATATATACTTTGTGGGGTCTGCCACGCCTCCTTCTGCCTGTTACATTTTTCAGCTCCCGCAAACCTAATATACTCTTGTACATTTCATGTACAGAGTATAAACAGTCATACAACAATACAATACAATTTCGACATTTGCTGATGATACTGCCATCCTAAGTCGCTCCAAGTACCCAACAAGAGCTACAGAACTCTTATCATCTCACCTCGTGGCCATACAAGAATGGCTAGCAGACTGGCGCATACATGTAAACGAGCAAAACTGCAAACATGTCAACTTTACCCTAAACAAACAAACCTGTCCCCCATTGTCGCTAAACAATATCAATATTCCATAAAGAAAGACCTTGGCGTCCATTTAGATAGACGGCTTACTTGGCGTACGCACATTAAAGTGAAAAGAAATAATCTTGAACTTAAAGCAAGTAGTCTACATTCGCTGATAAATGAGCGTTCACCACTAAAGCTAGAGTACAAGGTACTTTTGCACAATGAAGTTCTCAAACCAATTTGCACATATGGCTCTGAACTATGGGGAAACGCTTCCATGAGTAATTTAGAGTTAATCGAGAGAGATCAATCGAAGATCCTGAGAACCATCACTGGGGCACCCAGGTTCATACGGAATGAAAATATGCAGAAAGATTTAAGTGTGGGATCTGTTAAAGATGAAATCGTCAAGGTGAAAGCAAAGTTCAGCTTAAGCTTCGGCCCATCAAAAAAGACTTGCGCAGAGACCTCCCTACCCAGCAATAACAGTTAGGGCCGTAATTTAAATATTTAATTGTAATTAATTAAATAACTATATTAGATTAAGATCTACTACTATTTATTGTAAGTCTCCGAGAGAAAAAATTCGATAAATAAATAAAACACTAAAAAAAAATAAATACATATACTCCTGTATATTTAGCTAGAATCGTAAGTTTAAGAATTTTATTTTATTTTAGTATAATAAATAGTAAAAAATATTAACATTTTTTCTTTTTTAGGCAATCCAATGCCATCGATTAATTGGTACCGAGACGGTGCTCTAATCGCATCTGAAAACACATATGTAGCAGGTGGAAAAATTGTTCAAAGTGAAATATCAATTGGACCACTTAAGAGAGAGGACCTGAATTCGAGACTTACTTGCAGAGCACAAAATCATCCACGAGCAGCTATTGTAGAATCCGTTGTTCAAATTGATATGAATTGTAAGTAATTTTAATAGTTAAATGCAATAAGCATACATTTAAATACTTTATTTGAGATTTATTACACCACTGGCAGGTTTGGCCCGTCTTTGCGGGGTTGAGTATTTCTTCTTACAATTTTACTCATTGCCATTACCACAAAAGTTTCTATAGGAATTTCTTAGTAGCAAATTACTTTGTTAGGTACTGAAACATAGGGCATATACAACTACAACAATGTGAGTAATTACATACTATACTATACTATACTATACTATACTATACTATACTATACTATACTATACTATACTATACTATACTATACTATACTATACTATACTATACTATACTATACTATACTATACTATACTATACTATACGATACTATACTATACTATACTATACTATACTATACTATACTTAACTATACTATACTATACTATACTATACTATACTATACTATACTATACTATACTATACTATACTATACTATACTATACTATACTATACTATACTATACTATACTATACTATACTATACTACTATACTACTATACTATACTATACTATACTATACTAGACTATACTATACTATACTATACTATACTATACTATACTATACTATACTATACTATACTATACTATACTATACTATACTATACTATACTATACTATACTATACTATACTATACTATACTATACTATACTATACTATACTATACTATACTATACTATACTATACTATACTATACTATACTATACTATATACTATACTATACTATACTAATACTATACTATACTATACTATACTATACTATACTATACTATACTATAGACTATACTATACTATACATACTATACTATACTATACTATACTATACTATACTATACTATACTATACTATACTATACTATACTATACTATACTATACTATACTATACTATACTATACTATACTATACTATACTATACTATACTATACTATACTATACTATACTATACTATACTATACTATACTATACTATACTATACTATACTATACTATACTATACTATACTATACTAGACTATACTATACTATACTATACTATACTATACTATACTATACTATACTATACTATACTATACTATACTATACTATACTATACTATACTATACTATACTATACTATACTATACTATACTATACTATACTATACTATACTATACTATACTATACTATACTATACTATACTATACTATACTATACTATACTATACTATACTATACTATACTATACTATACTATACTATACTATACTATACTATACTATAACTATACTATACTATACTATACTATACTATACTATACTATACTATACTATACTATACTATACTATACTATACTATACTATACTATACTATACTATACTATACTATACTATACTATACTATACTATACTATACTATACTATACTATACTATACTATACTATACTATACTATACTATACTATACTATACTATAACTATACTATACTATACTATACTATACTATACTATACTATACTATACTATACTATACTATACTATACTATACTATACTATACTATACTATACTATACTATACTATCTATACTATACTATACTATACTATACTATACTATACTATACTATACTATACTATACTATACTATACTATACTATACTAGACTATACTATACTATACTATACTATACTATACTATACTATACTATACTATACTATACTACTAACTATACTATACTATACTATACTATACTATACTATACTATACTATACTATACTATACTATACTATACTATACTATACTATACTATACTATACTATACTATACTATACTATACTATACTATACTATACTATATGCATGATTGTCCATGTCAAAAAAATTGATGTATGTATGTATATGTATATAGATAAGTTCCGTATAGACTCCGAAATCGCTCAACCGATGCTAATCAAATTTTGAGACAATATTACAAAAAGTCCTTTGGAAATCCTGTGAAATTTCGTGGCGATTCGTCAACGCAACCAACCACCGTTTTCTGGCTTATTTCTGCTCATTTTTATATGTTTGATAGGAACTTTTTACTCTGTCAGTGCTTCATTTGTAAATAAATAAAATTCTAAAATCGAATTCAAACAAATGCAGCTGAAAATGCAGATGAACGCGAATAACGTTTGCAAGATCTTTGCGAAAGGGCATCAACATCTAGAGCCATCAAAACGAAACAAGACGGAAGTCGAGGCTTCGGCAAATGCGCGAAAGGGCATCCACATCTGATCCAAGAAACACCAAGAGGGGGCGATGGACATCCTTTGTACAGACGACGATAGGTGGATCGCTAGTAAGCTATATAAATCATTTTTAGTAGTAGTTTTATTATGTGGGGACATATATTTTATTCTTACATGGACGTGACATCCATAAAATATTACTATTCAGAATTATTGGTATTTGCATTGTATTGTATGATTCATACTGTATGAATAATGTGAATATGGAAGGATTGATCAGAATGGGCTTAACTTAATTCTCCAAGTCCCTCTACATATATAGCATTGTTAGCAACGCAAAATTTCAAAAAACAGTTTTTCTTTTTGTACATAGAGTCTACGAAGCTTGTTTAAAATCATTCCATTAAAAAATGTAGTTCTAATACAAACTTTTTACTCCTTTGGACTTTGAATTTCCAAAAAAGCTTTTAAATGCATTCTCATACGATAAATATACATACACACCTTGGTGTATGTCACAGGGTGTTGTCACAAAGAGCGTTTTTATTTCGACACTGAATACACTTAATAAATAATAGATTAGCACTAATTCGCCTGTTGAAGCGATCTGAATGGCTCTTTCCGTTGGGCGAAATAAAAATAAATTACATCCCATTATGGCCGTTGAGCACAGCCGGACCAGAGCATCGTAGCCATATCCACCCAGCTACGAATGTACCCAGCTAGTTGGAACGGATACCCGCGGGCATTTCTGCGCAACTTGGAAGATCGTGCAGGTACCGCTGGACCTCTTGGTGTCGATGTTACCGTTGATAGTTTTGGGTGAAGCGCTAATGTGGACAAAATCCGGCCAAGCAACGGGCCGAGTTCCACGAGGAGCTGATAGAGGCATACCCAACTGCCCCTTACGTGAAACAGAGCCGCCAGAATGCTCGACGAATTGAAGGCGAGTTGCAGACGACCGAATCGGACGTCTGAGCGACGGTGGACTCCTATGGTCTGCCACTCGACGCGGTACTAGACACTGGAGTTACACGAAGCTTCGTGAGTCCAACCCTGGTGCAACGCTTGGGGGCAGCAGGAGGAAACGCAACGTTTTCCTGTTCGTATCAGTGGCAGATGGCACAATCACGACGGTCTGCAAAGAAACGAAGGCAAGCAGTCAGATCACATTGCTACCGCTGAAGCTGCTAGGATATATTAATGAGCTCATCCTCGATAGATGAGTTCACGTTGGGGCTGGACTACATACACAAGGCCAACGTAACGATGATTGCGGGCGGTCAGATGCTGCAGCTGCGAGGCTTGGGCAACGCAGGGTGCGGCGTGGGCGCCAAGGTGACTGGTTTCCAAAAAGCTGGCAGGTACGCAACACTGCAACAGGTAGTGATGGCAATCAGTTGGAAGAGCCAAAATGCATCGGCTAAGCACAGAAGAAGCAACAGCAACGATAGAAGAAATTTTCGGAGCACTCAGAACAATACTAACAACGATGCTGGAGGCTCAGAAAGCACGTGAGCAGCCGCATTATAGAACCAACTATTAAATACACTGTAAATAAAAAAATAGAACGATGGCACATTCAAGTTCGACCATAAGAAAAATTCTGAGAATACTCAACTCGTTTAAACTCCTTTGCAGCCAAGCAAAGATCAAAGAGCAAATTTGAGTTTGAAATTCCTAGAATTACGGGAGTTATGGATAATCACGTATAGCGGGGGTGGGGGTGCATCGAAAAAAACTCAAACTCGTGCTTTTATCGCCATGTCCGTCTGTCCGTCCGTCCGTCTGTTTGAACGCAACGATCTCAGGAAGCACAAGAGCAAGAATAACCAAACTCGGTATCCAGATTCTCCTAAGTCCGAGAAAGGACGATTTGTGTTTTTCTTCTGCTGCACCCCCCCCCCCCCCCCCCCCCCCCTCCAACTACCACACAATTCGTGTTTTTCTCATAATTACTCCCGTTACTCTCGTATTTCTTGGAAATTTGTACTCCAATTTGGCAAATACATCCATATAGTGATTATGTGTCTGTGTGACAAGTTTCATCATGATAAGTCAATTATGGAGAAAGTTATAGCCATAAACAGAATCTCTGCCCAAGATCTGCCGGCAGGGGTTGCTGCTTTGACTTATTTTTTTTTACTGCATACAAGGACCCATAGACACGATTCTGATGTAAATCTATGCTGTTGAAATTGTGCATAAACACTTATGACTGTATGCATGTGTTAAATATTTTATATTTAATTAAATTAATTAATTACATTTTTTTAAATTTTTTTTTTTTATTTTGTGGGGTGGTACAGGGTATTTAAGAATTGAGCCCGCTCGACTTTAGCATTCCTTTATTGTTTTAATTTCTGTAATTATTCTAAACATATGTACAGAGTATTTAAAAGTCGGGATACCCGGATAAAGCTTTTTTAGTTGTTTTACACTCTGTACATGAAATATACAAGAGTATATTAGGTTTGCGGGAGCTGAAAAATGTAACAAGCAGAAGGAGGCGTGGCAGACCCCACAAAGTATATTTATTCTTGATCAGCATGACAAGACGAGTCGATCTATGTCTGTATGTCGGTCTGTCCGTCCGTATGAACACCTGGATCTCAGAGACTAAAAGACATAGAGACACCAAATTTTGCGCAAATATGCCTTATGTGTGTACGCTATACGAGTTTGTTTTATTTCTTTGAAAGTTCTAAAGACTCCTCTGTTGAAATAGGCGTTTTTCCCTGACATCGTGTGTTTTATTTAGACGGCGCTG